ACCCCAAAAACCCTAAACCCCAAATCCTAAACCACACCCCAAATAGTTCACTTTTTTTTGCGGATTTGCATAGAAATCAGAAAAAGGAAACCAAGAAGAGGCAGGTTCTTTCCGGTTCAGGTTGGCCAACACCCGAGTCGAGCTCTACGTATCGCGACAAAGGAATAGGAACACTGGAGATAGCAAAAGACACCATTATGGTCCCGTAATCCCTAAGCCGTAAGCCCTAAACCATACCTTGGGTCCTTACTTATCAGGATAACACCATTTAAGGGACCTATAACCCTCAAAATGTAGCCCCACGGTTGATGATATACATCCTGCATAACCCATAATAATAAGGATCATACCATAAGTTCCAGAATTTAGGGTCCTTATAAGGTCATGCAGGATTTATATCATCAACTGTACTTACTAAGCCCTTGAGCCCTCAACTAATTTTGCGGCCGTAATATTTACCTATACTATTTTGGGAGCTCCTTATTACAATCCTAGCTTAATGCGCCCAAAACCCTGTTCGAATATTGAGGCCCCTACCCTAAACCCTAAGCCCTAAACCCTAAACCCGAAGCCCTAAACCCTAAACCCTAAACGCTTAGACCCAAACCCTAAACCCTAAACCCTTATTAGACCCATTGAGAAACCCTTCTAAGGAATCTCCAAGTCAAGACGCCGAGTCACCTTGTCCTGGTGCCGCTCTCAGCTTCCACAGGGCTTTGGGTGTAGGGCTTTAGGGGTTAGGATTTAGGGTTTAGGATTTAGGGTTTAGGCTTGTCATTGATGTTGTCCAAAAGGGGCAGAAGAGTAGAACATGTTTGCACATCCCGGCATGAGTGCAAAACGTAAGGGGCACATTGTCCTACCCTAGCCGCCCTTTCCTAGGCCCGAACCCCTAAACTCTGACTCCCAAACCCGATCCGATGTTCTAGAGATGGCTCTGTCCTGATGTCCTATATAGGGCTTAGGGTGTAGGGTTTAGGATTTAGGGCTCAAGGGGTGTAGGGTTTCGGGTTTAGAATTAGGGGTTTAGGGGTTTTGGGGTTTTTGGGTTTGGGTTTGGGCCGAGGTTTGAGGCTTGGGGTGTAGGATTCTTGCCCCCAATGCTTGCGGGGACCTTATTCTTGGGTCCTTAAAGGCCTTAGGGGTTTAGGGTTTAGGGGCCTAAATAGATGTAATAGAGGGGCCCATATCCTGCCTTATTCTTGGGTCCTCAAGGGCCCAAGGGCCCTAACTGTAAATTCCTTGGGAGCATAGCTGCCCTGGCTTCCGGGGTTGGGTGTATCGCTGTGGCGCCTCTTCGGTGGCGGCTCACCCATAGGCCCCATAGTAGTTCCTTTTGGGGATTCCCTAATGGGATCCTAAAGACAAGCCACAAAAAGGAATTACCATGGGGCCTATGGGCATGCTGACCTTGATCCTTTCTGGAGCCTAGCCTCAGCATGAGATGGTGATGCCATGCCGTCATGCCTATGATTTCATGGTGTTACGGATGTTGATTCTGCCGCTGGTATCGACGATGAGAATCTAGTCTTTCGGCGATTCTGACAAACCGTGATGGAGGCTGTGGACAGCATTGCCAGTGCCTTCAAGTGCATGAACCTCGATTACGGTCATTTTATCTGCTGCGCTCTTATCTAATTGCCTTACCCATAGGCCCCATAGTAGTTCCCTATTAGGTAATCCCAAAAAGGAACTACTATGGGGCCTATGGGTAGTTCATCAGCATGTCTCTTGTTTCCTTAAGGCACGCCTCGCTTGTCTGACGCGGACGGTGGAGTCCGATGCATTGCAAAACTTAGCCACTTGGAAATGCAGATTGTGTCAGATTCAGCATGTTCGTTCGGGATCTCTTGAACTATTTTCTGTAATTCATATAATTTAGGGTTTAGTTTAGGTGGGTTAGGGTTTAGGGTTTAGGGTTTCGGCTTGCTGCAGTGGATCGACATGTCCTCCGCTTCGAGGAATTAGGTCAAAGGGTTTGCGGATCTCCTTCAGTCTTCAAGAACCATACGCAGGGCTCTTTTTTTTAAAGTGGCACCTCAAGGCAAACAGTTGTGCTGAAAGCCTCTTATCTTTTAAGGTGCCCTCAGAGACCACTGAAGCCGAAAGTCTATATCCCAAACCTTAGTCCCGGATCCTAAACCCTTAGGTCAAAAGCAGATAGAACCTAGCAAGACAAGCCCTGAACCGGTACAACCTAAACCTAAACCCAACCCCCCAAGCCCGAAAAACAAAACAAAAGCAGATACACACACACACACACAACAAAATAACCTAAACCTTCTGCCGAAACCCAACAGAAAAAAAAAAACAAACAAGACATGACACACACAACAAAATAACCTACAAAAGCTCGGCCGCATGTAGCACCTAAACTCAAACCCAAGCCCCGAACGCCCAACACCCTAAACCCGAAACCCTAAACCCCTAAACCCTGAACCCTAAATCCTATACTTTAAACCCCAAAACGCCTAAACCCCTAAACCCTAAACCCCAACCCCTAAACCCCCAAACCCCTAAACCCCTAACCCCTAAACCCTAGCCCCTAACCCCTAAACCCCCAAACCGCTGAACCCCTAAACCCTAAATCCCTGAACCCCGGACTTGCTTTGAGACTTTTGACTCTGGGGCGTCCGGTTGATCTCGGGAGTTTCAACAGTCTCAACAGATATAGCGATCAGGTGCAAGGACCCAAATGGGCAATGAACAGGGGCCTTGAAAATTAGAATAGGGTGTGGGGGCCCATTATACTGGTATTTTAAGAAGGAACCCCCCACCAAAAACTATTGGTAAATGTTTTTAGGCCCCGACAGTAGTTCCCTAAATTAGGGTCCCTTTCAGGGGTTTTGTAGGAAAGTTCCCTAGGGACCCTCTTAAGGGTCCTCTGGGAAAGGGGCAACTGCCGGTCTGAATTTCAAAGCTCTGCAGAAATTATGAGTTGCTTCTACCTATAGGCCCCTACCCAGAGACTTCAATATCCCTTCATTAAGGAATATACCTTAGATCATATTAGGGATCCTACCATAAATACTATAATTTAAGGTATATTCCTTAATTAAGGGATATTGGAGTCTTTGGGTAGGCTCCATGGTAGTTACTGCTTGTGCTTTGTATAGGGTTTAGGGTTTAGGGTTGAGGATCCTTTTAGGGTTCATGTTTAGAATCCTATAAGGTAATCCCAAAAAGGAACTACTCTGGGGCCTATGGGTACCAATAGGCCCTAGGCTCGATTGGTAGTTACTGCTTGTGGTTTGTATTTAGAAGTCTATTAGGGTTTAGGGTTTAGGGTTTAGGTTTTAGGATTTAGGGTTTAGGGTTTAGGGATTTAGGTTTGTAGTTCCTGTTTGCGGCTTATATCTAGGATCGTATCAGGTAATCGCAAACAGGGAACTGCAATGGAGACTATGACTAGGCAAAGCTGGAAACACCTTGAAAAGTGAGTCCTCTGAGCACTGCGAGAGCATCTCTTCTTTGCAGGTCTTCTTTGGGGTTTAGGGTTTAGGGTTTAGGGTTCAGGGTGATGCCTCCCCAAAGTGCCTAGGCATCAACGCATTGTTACACTTTCGCCGCCCGTAAGCACAAGGTCCTCAAGCATTTGAAGCCTCTACCCTAACCCCTAAACCCTAAACCCGTAGCTTTGCAAGAACTTAAGCACAAGGTCCTCAAGCTCTTTGAAGCCTCGACCCGCCAGATAAAAACCCTGCCCAGCAAAAGCCTGGAGGCCCCAGCCCTGAATAGTACCCATAGCTTATAGGATTCTAAGTATGAACCCCAAGAAGGAACTACTATTGGGCCTGTGGGTATAGTAAACCCTAAGAAGTTGATAGTATAGTAAACCCTAAAAGTTGCCCTAAGGGTCCAAGTACCCATTATTTAAGGGACTTTGTGGCCTTTTTGGGTACCTAAAACCATAAATAAGGACTACTTGGACCCTTAGGGTTGGAAACCGCATTTAGGACAATTAGTGCTGGCTCAGGATGGAGGCTATTTCTACTGCACTCCTAGTTTAAGCCCTGCGCCCGCGACTTCATACACACCCAAACCCCTAACCCCAAGACCAAACCTGGAAATCCTAAGCCAAAACCCTGCACAGGAGCTTTTAAAATGTATTTTAACGCAAACCACGGCTTCTTCACAACTTGAAACAGAATTCAGGCTTCTGACTGGGAGACACTTACGGCGGCGGAGAAAGACGCGCTTTACGAGATTTTCCTCACGGACGGTCTCTACCACAAGGTCTCAGCAGGGTTTCGGGGTTTCGGGTTTAGGGTTTAGGGCGAGGTACAGACCCTGAGGCTCGACGGTTATGGTTTACTTGGGTTTGCCACAATCAAGGTCTGCGATCGTAGCCATGAGACTTACCTTGAGGCCTACTTGTAGCGCAGAGCGCCAGGTTATGACCCAGAATGACTCATCACAGTGGTTCTAAACCCTAAGCCCTACATCCTTAAACCATTGGATTAGCAGGTTGCTAGGGTTGAACCAAGGAACCCATTGAGGGAGTAGGTTTTAGGAAGTATCGTTTGTGTCGTGGCTTCAATTCCCCCAAAAAGCCCTGTAGACCCTAAACCCTAAACCCTAAACCCTAAACCCTAAACCCTAAACCCAAAAAGCCCTGTAGACCCAAGACTGCCCCGCCGGGTCTTGGCTCTCCCTGGGCCTCTTGCTTCCTTTGATGTGTCGTGGGCTGGTGCAACAAATTTAAACCCGAAACCCTAAACCCTAAACCCTAAAGACATAGTTGTAGAACACTCTAATCCACCTCTAACTGCTCAAAACAGGCTTTTATCTTCCTCTACCTGCCGATGTTCTTGACCAATGCCGTGGCAAACCTTGACTTGGGCCTACGCCGCTGTGGCCGACTTTAGTTTGCCTGTGCTGCAGAAGTTTCGGGTTGGTCCAATATTAACGGTTTAGGGTTTAGGGCTTCGGGTTAATAGTTGTATGGTAGCGAGTCTTGTTGTGTTGTTTGAGGCTATAGGTGCGTTGCGCTGCTAGGGTTTGACGCAATGCAGATGTGTTGCACTTCGTGATTTGGAGTCGAAGTGTACATCAGGCCTACTGAATCTTCCGCTATGCCCCAGCCCTGACATTTGAATCCTAGTGGACATGGCTATTAGAAGTCCAGTTAGGTTGAAGAAATGCCCCAAGGGTCCAAGTAGTCGTTATTTATGGTTTTAGGTATCCAAAACGGCCCCAAGGCCCTTAAATAATGGGTACTTGGACTCGGACCCTTAGGGATGATGAACCCTCCCCAGAAGCCGCGCTGGCTGTGTTGTATTGTTGTTTAGGGGTTTAGGGTTTAGGGTTTAGGGTTTAGGGTTTGTTGTCTCCTGGCCCGATTCGGAAGCCTTTCCTTTAGGCGAAAGTAGACATGTGACATATGTAACTTATGTACGCAACCCATACTTACCCATAGGCCCAATAGTACTTCCTTTTTGGGATTACCTAATAGGATCCTAAATATAACGATGGACCATAGAATGATGATCAATCCAGAAACCTATCTGCAGCCCTCGCCCGAGGGTGTACATTAAGCTACCATAGCCTACTTTCGGTATGTTCCTACTTGTAGCATGAACCCTAACACAGACTTCTAGGGACCTACAAAAGCGGAGATTTCGGTAGTCCGGCAGTGCCGTTATACGCTTCCTCACCCACCGGTCACCGTATTGAAACTGTTGAAAATTGGAAAACCCTAAGGGACCATGATCCAAAACGATCCCACAGGCTCTTCTTTCACCCATTCCTGGTGCTACTGTTGATGATATAAAGCCTGCATTACCTTAAGGACCGTCCATGGGTTTAGGGTTTAGGGTTTAGGGTTTAGGGTTTAGGGACTATATACTTTGGCCCCAAAGTACTTACACAGGGACTACTTTAAGGCCAAAGTATAGTCTATTTAGGCACATGGACCGTTAGGGAAAGGCAAGGCTCACGATTGAGCGGACAACAGGGGCCGAGCTGCTGAAACCCTTCAACACCCCTATTTAGGGTTTAGGGTTTTAGGGTTTAGGGTCTAGGGGTTTAGGGGTTTAGGGGTTTAGGGTTTAGGGTCTAGGGGATTAGGGTTTAGGGCCTAGTTATAAGAATTCATCGAAACCCTGCAAAACTGCACCGAAGCCCTATGATACCCTGCAGAAGTCTGCTTAGAATGACCGACCCGTCTGTGAAAGTTCCATCCCGAAAGCTCCCAGAGACTGCAATATCCCTTACTTAAGGAATATACCTGAAATCATATTAGGGATCCTACCAGAATTTAAGGTATATTCCTTAATTAAGGGATATCGGAGTCTTTGGGCTCCTCTCTTGTCAGGGCGGGGACTCCAGTTCCTGGTGGAGCTTTACAATAAGCGCCTTGGCGTGCAGCCTTTGGGGGGTTCCCTTCACCCATAGGCCCCATAGTAGTTCCTTTTTGGGATTACCTTATAGGATTCTAACTATGAACCCCCGAGAAGGAACTAATATGGGGCCTGTGGGAAGGTTCAGGGTTTAGGGGGTTCCCCGGGCATGGATAACTTTTTTTTATCAAATCGAGCAGGGCGTTCGAAAGGATCTGTACGTGTTCTGCAAGGGTTCTACTAAGTAATACTGGATCCTCTAAACTTTGTTGGGTTCTACTAAGTAATACAGGATCCTCTAAACTTTGTTGGGTTCTACTAAGTAATACAGGATCCTCTAAACTTTGTTGTGTTATGGGCTCATGTGGGGGTCGGTGTAGGGTTTAGGTTCATGCTTTGCAGGAGGGTCCAGGTAGCGGTTGGACTATTCATATGCCGACACTGTGTTGTCAAGGCCCAGATGTCCCCTAAGCCCCAAACCCTAAACCCTAAGCCCCAAACCCCAAACCCCAAACCCTAAACCCTACACCCTAAGACCCAAACCCCAAACCCTAAACCCTAAGCCCTAAGCCCCAAACCCCAAACCCTAAACCCTACACCCTAAACCCTAAGCCCCAAACTCAAAACCCTAAACCCAAAACCCTAAACCCTAAACCCTACATGGATATGCGAGTCCTTCGGCCTGCGCACGGTTTCTTTCTCAGTGCCCAAGATCCCGAAATCCCGAAATCCTAAACGCAAACCCCTAAACCACCCTAGCCTAAACCCTGACCCTATACATAGCCCTTATGATTAAGATTTAGGGTTCTGGCTTAGGGTTTGTATAGGGTTTATGATTTATGATTAGGGTTTAGGGTTTAGCGTTCAAGGATTAGAACTAGAAACGGGTGGTTACCGTTGTAGGAGCCTTATAGAAGGTCTATATACCTTACAGAAGCCCTATAGAAGCCCTATATATCCTAAACTCCCCACCTGTAGTTTCCTTTAATCCTGAACCCTAAACCCCTAAACCCTAAACCCTGAACCCCTAAACCCTAAACCCTAAACCCCTAAACCCTAAACTCCCCACCTGTAGTTTCCTTTAAATCCAGGCTGCTGAACCACCGCTGCCTCAGCGCAGAGGTTTATACTGTCAAGGCGGGGTCTGGCTTTGTCTGGGTGCTGGGTTTAGGGTTGGGGTTTAGGGTTTAGGGTTTAGTAGGGTGTAGGGTTTATTGTGTTGGGTTTAGGGTTTGGGGTTTAGGGTTGAGGGTTTAGGGTTTAGAGTTCAGGTTTTGGGGTCATTCAGGGTCCCCGAAGGGCTTCTATGGGATAAGGATCCCTGCACGTTTGTCTTCATGTTTTTTGCAAAGTGTAGCGCAGTTCTGGTTTGAATTGAAAACATTTCCTTAAACAGGGTTCTATTGATTGCGAGTCCCTGCAAGGTTTCGCAAAGCGTACTGTGCGGGTGTAGGGGCTCACCCATAGGCCCCACAGTAGTTCCTTTTCGGGATTACCTCACAGGATCCTAAATGTAAGCCACAAAAAGGAACTACTATGTGGCCTATGGGTAAACTCCAAACCCTAAACCCTAAACCCCTAAACCCTAAACCCCTAAACCCTAAACCCCTAAACCCTAAACCCCTAAACCCTAAACCCTAAACCCTAAACCGCCTTACAGTCCAAGGAACTTCGGTTCTATGGGTAAAGGGCTCCTTAGCCTGAACTCTGAGAGTCTTGCAGGGATGTCGGGGAAGCCTTGACAACCCTAAAACCTAAACCCCAAATTTGAGCGTGTTCCAGGGTTGCCGCTTTTTAGGACTTCAACTTTCAGGGTTTAGAGTTTCGTGACTTGTTTAGTGTGCCTCTTTATTGCGCAAGTCTCTGTTCAGGCAACTGGGGTGCAAGCTTAAGGTCGCCTTTTCTGCAGGGTTTGGGATTGGGGCGGAGGCTAAGCCGAGGAGAGTGCTGACTTGTGAGTTTATGAGGATTTCGAGTCTGACATGATTTCGAGCTGTGGTTGTCATGGTCATCGTCTTCACATGTGATGCTCATCATCGTTATCATCATCATCGTCGTCCTCATCATTATCATCATTATCATCAGCGTCACCTGTTTCCTCATCCCCATCCTTGCGCTCCCCATGGATGTCACCGTCGCCGTTCAAACCCAGTGCCCTGAACCCTAAAACCCCGAGCTAAGAACCACAAGTCCCAAATGCAGAGCCCGAAGTCCTGGTGGGGTCCTGGAGCCTACATCAAGCCCGAAACCCCAAATCCTAGTCTGAAGCCTCAGAGCATAACCTTAGATCCAAACCCTAAGGGTCCATGTACCCAAATAGTATATACTTTGGCCCCAAAGTACTTAAAAAGGGACTACTTTAAGGCCAATGTTTACCTATTTGGGTACATGGTCCCTTAGGGAGACCTTGAAGCCCTGCAAACCCTGAACTGTCGTTGAACGTTTACCTGAAGCTGTATGAAGCCCTACAAGCTACACGTACTGACCTAACGTCCTCAACTCCTCGACGCTTCTTAGCGCCGCCTCCCCCCCTCCCCAAGAAGGCGCTGTTGAGCAAAAGGGGTTTAGGGTTTAGGGACATCACCACTAAAACTAATAGTCCCTAAACCCACAACCCTGGTTCAATTCCAAAGCCCTGAGCCCTAAAGGTGGATATCTCCTCGCTCGCGGCCTTAGCCAAGGAAGTCGATGATGCCGCTGGGACGAAAGGCTAAAGGCACAAAGGCTTTTTTAGGATTGGAGTTTAAGTTTACCCATAGGCCCCATAGTAGTTCCTTTTTGGGGATTACCTTATAGGATCCTAAATATAAGCCACAAAGAGGAACTACTATGGGGCCTCTGGGTAAACCCCAAACCCCAAGCCCTCTTAGGAACGAGATAAAAGTGACATTATCTCAGCCTGGGGCCGGAGATCAATGGCCCTGTGCCTTTTCCTGCCATGCAACAAACCCCGCGGCCGGCCCAGGGTTAGCCCAAACCCTGGCCAGAGGGTCACTTCCTGCCAAAAAGCCGGATAATGGTTACTTGGTACAGGGATACTGCTGATGAAAAAAATCCTGCATTACCTTATAAAGGACCCTAAACTATGGGAGCTATGATATATTCCTTCTTATGGGTAATGCAGGAGTCATATCATCAACCGTAGGGCATGACCCCCTAGGTAAACTCACAAGTTTTGGGTTGACTCTTAAAGAGAGTCCCAGGCCCTATGAACCCAGAAGTCAAACAACCAAAACGGCCCAAGACAGGGCTTAAGGTTCAGGGCTTAGGGACCCTAAACCCCCTTTGAAACTCATGCAGTTGGAAAAAAGCGCGAAACAACCTAAAGCAAGAACGTCAACAGTCCCGGATCCTAACTCAGGTGCGGTTGCTCCGGCAATGCTTGGACTACTCACGCATCGTGCAGCATGCGCACGGAGTAACGGCTTCTTGCTTGCATCCATGGGACTTCCAGCAAGAATCAGGGACACCACCACAGATGGTCCAAGGACCCCTGGAAATCCTTGA